GTTCCTGCTGCTGCTGCTGCTGCTGCTGCTGCTGCGCTGCTGCCGCCGCCGCTCGAGGGCTCCCCGCACGCGCTCACGCCGCACACGGCCCCCGACGCGCCTCCGCTCGCTGCAACACAAGCTCCACGCGCACACGCACAGAACCGCCTCTGCTGCTGCTCCTGCTGCTGCTCCTGCTGCTAATGCTGCTCCTGCTGCTAATGCTGCTCCTGCTGCTAATGCTGCTCCTGCTGCTGCTGCTAGGGGGGTAAGGGGTGCTGCTCGTGACGCAACAGAAAGCACGCGAAACACGCGCGTGCTGCTCAAAACTGCTGCCATGCAACCTGCTTGTGCGGTGTGCTGCAACAGCAGCAGCGGCAATGGCTGCAGCAGCAACAGCACCAGCAGCTTACGCTGGCGAAGCTCCACCTGCGATATGTCTGCTGCTTGTACCCCTTGCTTGCACACAGCCAGCGCCGAGCTGCTGCCTGAGCCACGAACCAGCAGCAGCAGCAGCACCAAAGAATCAGCAGCAGCAGCAGTGCTCTCAAGCCCAGCAAAGGTGGCAGAAACAAAAACGCAGCAGCAGCAGCAGCAAAAGAGATGTACCTAGTAGCAATGATGGCGCATCTGCAACGGCAGCGCAGGAAGCCCCGCAAGCTTGCTGCTGCAGCAGCTGCTCTTTCTGTTGCTGCTGCCGCTGCTGCAGCAGCAGCTGCTCCTCGACGCTCTCTGCTGAGCCGTTCAGCTGCTGCTCCTTTGCGCCGTAGCTGCAGCCGCTTGCTGCTGCTGCTGCTGCCATGTGGCGCTGTTTGCTGCAGTTCTGGCAACGCAGCTGAGTGCCTCTCGCCGGCGCAGCAGCAGCAGCAGCAGCATCTGCTGCCACTACCTCTGCTGCTGCTTGCTGCAGACGCTGGACGCACCTCTTCAGATGGGTCTCCTTCTCTGCCACTGCTGCTGCTGCTGTTGCTGCTGCGGTGGCGTCTTTGTCCAGCGCAGCTGCTGGCGGCGTCGCTGCTGCTACTGCTGCTGCTGCCGCTGCTGCTGCTGCTGCTGCTGAAAGGGGACTCGGCATGCACGCAGCTCGCCACGCGTCTGCTGCAGGGCTATTTTGGCTGCTGCTGTTTGCTGCCAGCAGCTGCGCCAGCAGCTCTGAAGAGACTGTCCTGCTGTTGCTTGCCGTTGCTTGCTGCAGCAGCAGCTGCTGCTGCTGCTGCAGCAGCTCCACCTGCCGCAGCCGAAGCATCTTTTCCTCGTTGTGCTCTTGGAGCTGCTGCTCTTGGAGCTGCTGCTGCTGCTGCTGCTGCGGCCGCAGCACCCTGCTGCGCCGCAGCTCAGGGTCAAGCAACGCGTCGAGAACTTGCTGCTCGTGCTGCCAGAGATGCTGCTGCTGCTGCTGCTGCTGCTGCTCGAGTCGCTGCTGGAGCGCGACGTCGTCATGGCTCAGAAAGAGGTCGGCGTGCTGCTGCTGCTGCTGCTGCTGCAGCTGCTGCTGCTGCTGCTGCTCTTTAGAAGGCAAGTGCTGCCGCCGCAAATATGGCAAAGGAGAAGGAGGAGACTGGGGAGGAGACACTTCAAGTGTCACAGTTTGCTGCATGTCAGTTGGTGTTGCTGCTGCAGCAGGAGTGTCGGAGGTGTAGACTTGCTGCTGCCGCAAGCTGCAGCAGTCCAGCTCCTCAGTGCTGCTGTTGCTGCTGCTGCTGCTGCTGCACAAAGCAGCAGCAGGGATGCCGCCGAAAAATGTAGAGTAAGACATTGCGAAAAATTCGAGCGGTGCTGCAGCAACCGCAGCGACTCAGGCTACTGTTGCTGCTGCTGCTGTTGTTGTTGCTGCTGCTGCTGCTGCTGCTTGAAGGCTGCTTTGAAGGACAGCTAGAAGAGGAAAGCACTAGTGGGTCTTAGCGATGAGAAGAACTTTCTTTTGGAGTTTGTCATGCTGAATAAGCTGTGCGATGATTTTTGCTGCTTCAGCTCAGCAGCAGCAGCAGCAACTGCTGCCAGCAGCTGCAGCGGACTTCTGCGGCGCCGTCACGGAGCAGCAGCAGCAGCAGCAAAGCCTCCTCAGTGCATGAGGAGACACAGGGGCCGGGGCCCCTTTACTGGGGAGAACTATAGACCATGCTGCGTCTTGTCGCTGCTGCTGCCTCTTCGCTGTGCTGCTGCTGCAGCTGCTTCCGCCGCTGCTGCTGCTGCTGCTGCTGCAGCTAGTGCGCCCGGTCTCCTCGGGGCTCGCTCCCTTGGCCTGCTCGCAGGGGCTCTTGAAGGACTTGCTGCTGCTGCTGCTGCTGCTGCTGCTGCTGCTGCGAGCTGCCTGTGGTCCACAGCAAGCCGGCGGTTCACTGCAACGAGCTGCGCGTACACCTCAGAGGCTGCAGCAGAAACCTTTTTTGAATCTTCAGTTTTCTCTACTCAGACAAATTCAAGACAAGAATAAAGGAGAGCAATTGAGGGGCAAAGCTACAGAGTAGTTGGCGTTCAAGTGCAGCAGCAGCTGCTGCTCAGCAGCAGCAGCAGTAGCACCAGCAGCGAAGCCGCTGCATCCCTTGCTGCCGAGAGCAGCAACAAAAAACGACAAGAGTCCAACTAAAAAGAAAGCTACCTTTTGATGCGATTGAACAAATATTTAAAAGCGGAAGGCTGACAATAATTGGCTGCTGCCGTGTCGCCCAAGGCTGTGTCGGCGCTGCCGCTGCTGCTGCTGCTGCTGCTGCAGCAAAACAAAAATAAACGTGCCACAGAGTTCAAAGACAAAAGGGCTTTTCAAAGATGTTCCGATAGAAGAAAAGAAGGCGAAAATGCAGAGCTGCCAATAAACCCGAAAAAATGGTCTCGTAGAAGGCCGCCGGTTCGCTCGCCTGTCCGGGCAGCTGCTGCTGCTGCTGCTGCTGCTGCTGCTGCTGCTGCTGGAGGAGGCGCTGGCTCCGCTGCTGCTGCTATTTTTTCGCTACTGGCGAGAATCTACCTTTAAGCGCATCAAACGTTTTCAAAATTGAGACGCTTGGACAAAAGTGATGCTGCTTTGCTGCTGCTGCTGCTGCTGCTGCTGCTGCTGCTGCTTCTGCGGTGTCGGCCGATGGGCTGTGCGAGCGAGAGCCACCGCAGCGTGGGCCTGGGCCAGCGGACAACGCGCTGCTGGCTGTTTGCTGCTGCAGTTTGCTGCTGCTGCAGCTTGCTGCTGCAGCTTCTTGTTGCAGCAGCTTCAGCATGCAATCCCGCCGGGCCTCCACCAAACTTTCGTACGGTGCAGGTGCCGCCGCCCCTGCTGCTGCTGCTGCTGCTGCTGCTGCTGCTGCTGCTGCTGCCCCTCGATGGGCCTCCTCCCCAAAGGGCCCGCACACACCTCTAGGCCCATATTTAAGAGGAAAGGCTCAGCAGCTTTGAATAAGGAGAAAGACACCAGCAGCACGAGGCAACAAGGGCTGCAGCAGCAGCACTTGCTGCTGCTGCAGCTCCTCCCGCTGCTGTTGCTGCTGCTGCAGCAGCAGCAGCTCAAGCACCTCCCTAGCGTTTGCCTAGCTGCTTCTGTCAGGTGTAGCTACAGCTCAGATATTTTTGCAAAGACACCACGCGGTGTACAGACACCCGCGCCCCAGTTGAGGTGTACGTACACCTGAAGTGCAGCACTTTAAAGGGCCTCGTGCTGCGCAGCAGCAGCAAAAGAAGCAAATAAGCAAAAGCAAAATGCTGCTGCATGGGGGCCCTAGGGGCCCCCTAGCAGGCGAGAGCTGCAGCAGCAGCGGGAAGTGCTGTTGCTGCAGAATTGTTACAGTGTCACTGCTGCAACACGCTCACACTGCCGCTGCTGCTGCTGCTGCTGCTGCTGCACACAGGTAGGCCTTTGCCTGAACGCATGGTGCAGCAGAAGCAGAAAGTCACGTGCTGCAGCAAGTCTAGTGCTGCAGCAAGTCTAGTGCTGCAGCAAGTCTAGTGCTGCAGCAGCTGACAGCAGCCGCACTGGCTGTGCTGCAGATCCAGCGTGCGGTCATCCGGCGGCTGAGAGTGTTGCTGCTGCAGCAGTTCTTACTTGCCGCTGCAGCAATAGGCGCTTGCTGCTGCAGCAAGCGGTAATTGCTGCGGCAGCACTTCAGTCTTCGCTGCTGCTGCAGCAGGTGGTGTTCGCTGCAGTAGTAACTGGTGCCTGCGGTTGCAGCAGCTGGTGTTCGCTGCTGTTGCAGCTGGTATCTGCTGCTGCAGCACCTGGCGTTTGCTGCAGCAGCATCATTAGTGGTGCTGTGGGGAATCCTGAGTCTTCTTTTGCTGCCGCGGCCAAGCAGCTGCTGCCTGCGGGGTCAAGGGCCACTCAAAGATAGGGGGGCAGCTGTCGCTGGCCTGCTGCTGTTGTTGTTGCTGCTGCTCCTGCTGCTGCTGCTGCTGCTGCTGAAGCGCAGCAGCAGCAGGGGGCCCCATGGGCCACTGGTTCGCTATGAAGTCCCACTCCTTCAAGACCACTGGACTCTCGTGCTCACAAGGCAGCCAGTGCATTTCTTCCCCGCGGGGCCCCACAACCAGCAGCCGCGGGACCCCCATGGTAGCCCGCCCCGGCTGCACTATGGGCCCTGCAGCAGCAGCAGCAGCAGCAGCAGCAGCAGCACAAGCGGCAGGGTGAGGGTGGGTAGGCGCTGCAGCGAGGGAGGTAGCAGCAGAAAGAGGCAGAGAGGGGCAAAGAGAAAAGAAGCAAAACGGGAAACGTAGAAATGCACGGCGCCCCTCTGCTGCTGCTGCTGCTGTTGCTGCAGCTGATGCTGCAGCTGCAGCTGGTGGT